GTGGGGTTTTTCTTTTGCTTGGTTTTTGTGGTTTGTTTATTTTTCCCCCAGCGTACTCTTTGTTGGTATTTCTTTTTGTTGATGATAAAATACTAAATTTGTTGAGCCACATTCTGCTTTGGGCACAGATATTTGAAAGACATTTAAAATGAGAGAGAAACTGAAGCAAATGAGGAAACAGAACATCTGATTTTTGCTGTCTGGAGACAATCACCCCATTGAGTATGAATTAGTCAAAACCTTTAGGGGAAAATAATCTACAAAATTTTAGATAAATTAGTTACCATTAATGTTTAAGTTCTTTGAGCTTAAAATGTACAATTAGCCTATTACACATTTCGAAGGCATACTTGTAGCCTTTCTAGATACAAAAATTTACCTTATTGTTTAAGTTCAGCTGCCTTTTTTGTTCTCAAGGTCAACCCTTTTGATCCCTTTCCCATTTTGAACTGTGGCCTTGTTAGGTCATGCTAGGCCAAGTATACCTGCGGTGCTAGTTTTTGTATTAGAATCTTCCAGATTAATATAATATAATATAACAGCAGAAAACTGTCCCTGACTTTATTGTGAACATTTGCATACTAATAGCGGTTCACTTTATGCTCACTGGGGAGGCTGATACTCAGATTCGATTGAATAACGTTTCTGTCTTCCGGAAAAGTGTTTTGAAACCTTTGAATATGGTAGGCACTCTACATCTTACAATCTTTATCAATGATCTGCAATCAGATGGTGCAAAAGCATCTTTAAATAAGTCTCAGGATCAACACAACTGTAATGAACAATAATAGAAGTCTGAAACACAATTCTGGTAAGAAAGATTTGAGTGATGAAAGGACAGGAAGCCATCTGCATTTAAGTTGGATTTTATTTGATAATTTTTTAATTACAGTGTTTTATTGTCAGTTTTGAAAACAAGATTACCCTTATCAGTCTAATAACTGATAAAATTATTTTTATTTTGTTTTATTCTCTGACATGGCAATTTTTTTTCTTTCACTTTTAGGAGTACAGTTGCTTGCCCTTCTCGTTCCCACCCTGATCTCCTATTTACTGAATGAAAATGCCTTCGCTTCTGCATCTGCAGCATCTAAGGATCTTCACGAGTTTGCACTTCAGAATCTAATGCACATTGGTCCACTTTACCCACGTGCTTTCAAGACAGTAATGGGAGCTGCTCCTGAATTAAAAACACGTCTAGAAACTGCAGTCCGAGCAAGTCAGGCCAGCAAAGCAAAAGCAGCTGCTAGGCAACCACCACCCACAGTACATTCCACCCCAACAATTAAACTGAAAACTAGCTTTTTTTGAATTGCTTTTATTATTTTTGGACCATTAAGTAGTCAGAAGCATTACATTATCCCTGCATACATGTCTAATTTTGTGTAATTTGTATGTGAAAGGCTGTCTAATGGAGCTTCGTGTAATTACTTGAAATCCATGCATTACAAGGGAAGTGGTGTTACTTGTATTTGTATAGATTTTTAGGAAATTGTGATCATATTTATGAATTTGTGTTATAAATTATCCACAAAAAGATTATTCTATAACTAAATACTTTTATTTATTTTTAAAAGCTCCCCCAAACCCTCCACTGGTTTTTGAAATCTGATGATTGTTATCCTACCATTGTGCCAACACACTAGCACAGTGGGGACGGAGGGAAGAAGAAAAACTGTTATGAAGTACTTACCCTGTACCATGGGGAATTTCAAGCGTAGAAGTATGCATTTTTTCCTTTTAAAAACAAAGTAAGGAAGGAGATTGTCAGACTTTGTAGATCATTTCAGCTTGCATGAAAAAAACACACAACAAAAGAGTTGAAAATTTTCAGCCTTTCTCAAGGTGAATGATCAAGCATGCTGTCTTAATGAGTTGTCCTTATTTATGTGGTGTATATTGCTTTCAAATTAGTTTCCATGCTTGAAAATGAATAAAGGATGCAAAGAATCTAATCCCCTATCTCTTCTGAGATAAATTTTAAGGGAATGCATTGGAAATTGAGTTTATAAAGAGAACTGCCTGCTATCTGCATTTTTGTAGGTGTAGATTTTGGCCCTTGTAAGGTGCTCTGTGTTTACAGTCTTCCTGTTCTGCCAGCCACTGGTTGAGTATGTGATGAGTCAGTGCTCTGCCCTTTGTCCAGACTCATATTTGACCTTGCTGCAAGATTTTAGTCTCAGTGAATATATCATACCTGTAATCCTTGATAAAGTTTGCAAGCAGAATTACTGGAGTCCTTTGAACCTCTACTGACTCAGGGGGCAGAACACCAGTGAGAGTCAGGCTCCTCCGGTTTTTCCTTCCCCTACCAGGCTTTTCTTTTTTGAAAAGCACGTGACTCCCCTTGCATCTGGGTGAGTCTGGTCTGCAGATTTTGGAGCTTAGAGCTCAAGTGCTGTGATTCCCAATGTCTGTCTGCTGCCAGGCCTCACCCTTCCTATTGGCAGAAGTGCGGAACCATGTATTTTCTTGTGTATACAAGACTGACTTACGTGATTTTTTTGACACAGCTGTTGAATTTATGGGCTTCTATAGGGATCTTTCTATACGTTTTGCTTTATAGAGAGAAGCTGCGTAACTAGAGGCCTCAGCTAGGCCTGTTGAGTTTCATCTCTGATGTTTTTCTGGATACTCTGTAAAAACTGGGTATTTCAGATGCATCAACCTCAAATATAACAAAGGGATAGTAAATAGAATTGAGCATGATTCATAGCTGGTTGAGATATTTTTAGATCGCTATTTTTGCATAGTCACTTGCCTCTGGGCTTTCTATTTTCCTGTAAGACCTTATCTAATATCCCTTTGAGTACCTATGCAAAATGGTCAAGACAATGCTCTTCTGCCCTATTGCATTTGCTGTGTGCAAAATATTTAACATAAAATCAGAAAAGCTTTTACTTCACAGTGAACATTTTAATACTAAAGTGATGACACAACAAGTGGTGCATCCTTTAATCTCTCAAATTTTTTACATAAAGCTGTTAACTTCTAAGTCTTGTTCCATTGTTCTGTAGGAGTAAAGATATATGTGGAAGTAAAAACAATATGCTGTACATGAGGAGGAAAGTAGTTTCACTACTTTTTTCATCTTAGTATGAGTAGTGGGAATTAAATTGATTAAATTGATTACAAAGCTGTATTGCTTAGAAGAAGTTCTAAATCTGTTTAACATTTGAGAGAAAGTATTATGGAAACTCTTTCAGTACAAAATTGAACACAAACATTTTGCAAGTAAAACTAAGAAAACAAGTTTATAACCTGTTTTAGATTTCTTCCTCCCCACCAGATAGTCTAGTAAAAATGACTTCTTGGAATGATTTTGTCTGTAATCAGGTTTTGTTTACCTTTTTATCTGAGCACTTTTAAGTTTTGGTTAGACTCTAGTTGACAAGATGTCTGAAAACTCAGAAAAGGAGAGGGGGGGAGGGAAGTGTAGCAATCAAGCATAACTAAAAGTCAGTAGAAAAAGAGAAATAAGTTAGCAGAAGGGAAAATGGTACTAGATAGATGTAGAGGGATAGAGAAGGGAGAGGTTTTTCTTTGTATATTGTGTGGCTGTCTACAACATGCACAACTCTCATTTGTATACATCCTTCCCCGGTTTAGTCCTCATTTGCTTCTCTGCTTACTCCTGATACTAAAGGTATAACCATGTGGTTTTACATAATATTTTGGCATCAAATTTCATTTGATTAAAAAAAACCTGAAGTAACTTGAAATGTCCGTAGTGCTTATTGTTTGTCACTCTCCTTTTGTTGTTTTTCTTTGTCAAACGCTTTTTAAATGTGCTCCGTTTCCCTTTCACATCTTTCATCTCTCTCTGCTGTTTCCTTCCTTTTTGGGTGAGCCTTGTTCTACTCCAGTAGCACACTCCCTCTTCAGTGCTTTCCCTTCAGTTGCCCTCTGCTCTCTGGAAGCTTCTTTAGTTGTCTTTCCCAAAGAGGTCGCCCACCAGCCACAGCTCTAACTCCAAGGGCAGGGTTATGAAGCAGGCAAGTTCAGGTTTGGAGCAGCCAGAAGGAAACAGGAAACACAGCTTGAGTAAGCAGTGGGGCACTCCTTGCATGCCCGGGGCATGGCGAAGGACACGAGTGGCACAAGCAGGGCCCATTCTCAGGGCCTGCAGGAACCCCATGAAAGCTCCTTGGTGGCATGTGCCATCTGTCACACACCTGTGGTACAGCCTGTTGGAGCAGCGTGTTTGTGTCTCCAGTAAGGCTCTGGTGCTGGTCTGCACATGGCATGGAAAGCAAGCCCAACTTCGTCTCTGTGCCTTGGGGAGAGGGGGAGAGGGCAGTGCTGCCAACAGTTTGCGCCCTCTGCCTCACAGGATCTTGTTTTCCCTTTCCTCGTGTGGGAACAGGCAGCGTGGCAATTCCTGAAAATTTTTGTGTTGCTCTCTTCCAGCATTCCAAACGATGTTCAAGAAACCCCTGCAGCCTTGGGCAGGATTTGCAGCTTTCGGCAGTATGAGGCCGAGCACTGCTCAGAGCAAGGCCAAAGCAGAAAAGAAGGAGCTGAAAGACCAGGGCCTGACCTGAGCATGTGGGACTGCTGCGAGACACCTGCCCTCCCCGTGTCGCCGGGGTGGGCTGCGGGAGTGGCCGAACCTTTCAGGCCCCGCTCGGAGGTGGAGGTGCCCACTGCCCTGTGCTCCCGCTGCAGCAGGAGCTGCCCTGTCCCTGCCGCTGCTCCCGCACTCCTGCCCAACCCACCGCTCCCGGGGGCGCACTGCCAGCGGCCCTGCCGGTCTCCATCTCGGGGCTGAGGCTCAGCCGCCAGAACGCCATCCCTCGAATTAAGGGCGGTGCGGGGAGAAGGCGGCGATCGGGGAATCCTCCCCGCCCTCCAGCGGAACTACATTTCCCAGGATGCCGCGAGAGATGCGGGCGGGTCGCTCTTTGAGCTGTCCCCGGCGGGCCGCCGTAGCGGTGGGTGGGGGTGGCTGTCAGGCGGTGACGGCGGGCGGGACGCGCCCAGGTTGTTGCTGCTGCTGCTGGTGGTGCTGCCGGGACCTCCGCGGCGGGAGCGGCGGCAGGAGCCAGGCGGACCCGGCCCGGCCATGGACGAGCAAGCAGGGCCCGGCGTCTTCTTCAGCAACAACAACAACAACAACGCGCTGCTGCTGCCGCCGCCGGCGGGCGGACCGGGGCTCGAGCCGGGCGAGGCGGCGGCAGCGGCGGCCGCCGCGGCGGTAGCGGGAGGAGGCGGCGGCGGCGGGGGGGGTCGCAGCCTCCGGAGCCGCCGCACCGTTGTCGGCGTCTCGGGCTCAGTACAGCGTGCCGGGCATCCTGCATTTCCTGCAGCACGAGTGGGGCCGCTTCGAGGCGGAGCGCGCCGAGTGGGAGGCGGAGCGGGCGGAGCTGCAGGTAACACCCGCGACCTTCCACCCCCCCCCGCCCCCGGCTCCGCCGGCCGCTCCCCCTCGGTATCCTGCGTACCTGGGCAGCCGGAGGAGCGCGGCCACCCTGGGCGCTGCCATGGCTTGTTCCTTTCCCCGGGAGGGAGCGGCCGCCGGGGCTGTTTCCCTGCCCCTGGGGGCGGCCGCCGCCGGGCGAGGGGCGGGACGTGGCGGCCCCGGCCCGGAGCGTCCGCTCCCGCCGCCTCCCCGCAGTTCTCCGAGTGCCCCTCGGGGCCGGCCGCCCAAACTTGTCACCAGTTTCGTAACCCCCTGTTAAAACCTGCCCCCGTCGTGCCGCTGCCCCGCCGCTTGTGCCGCAGCTGCCCCCGGCTCGCAGCCCCTCGGTCCCCGGGCCTGGCCCGTGAGACCCGCTGGAGCCCCTTCGGTGCTGTGGGACACGTTATGTGGTGTTTTCGGTTGAAAAGCGATGGGCTTGATACGCTCATTAGTGCGTGAAAGGACTGATAGGGATCTTGTGGTTAAAGAACTTGTGAGCTGCTGGCCTAGAGCCATTGCTGTCAGATACTTCAGTGATGGGCATGTTACATGAACTCCAATAACAGTCGATAGTGCAACCTTCGTTCCTCTTTGGCGTTGTTTACTAGAAAATCTCTGTTGTAAACCTTAACGTTGCCCATGTTAACAGCAGCCCACTGTTTGATTCTCATTTGGCCATGTTTAAAACTGAAAAGTGTCTACTCGTTTTCCTTTTGAGGTCTCCTTTCTTTGTCTCTTGCTTCCTGTCCATCTCTTTTCTTTCTACGTCTTTCCTTGAAAGTACTGTCTTTGTCAAGAGAGTCTCGAGTCTGTTTAGCAATACAAACCACTTCTGTTTTTTGTTGTTTTTTTGGGCTGTTTTGTTTTTTTTTTTTAAATCTTTTTAATTGTACTTTGTATGGTAACATCAAACAAGTGCTCTGAGAAGAGTGGAAGATGTGACATTCTTTGCTGAGGGTTTCCTGGTAGGAATTTAAAGAAAGTGATCATGAGGACAAGAGAGTAATTTTTGTGTTAACTGCAATGATTAAATGAGAAATTTGTTAGTAACTAAATCATGTTTCTATTCACTACATCCAGTAAGTACTATGTAGAAAGTAACTAGCTTAGGTATGTATGAGAATAACATCCAGTGGAGGCCCATAAATATCTTGACATTTTTTCATAGCTGATACGGACATCAAATATTGCTTTGGAGGAAAAAAATCTATTTTACAGGACCTAAGAAATTCTGCCATTGTGTTAAAAGTAATAACACTTTGCATATTTATAGTTCCCTTCAAGAGATGCTAGCATGCCATTCCTCCTTCTTCCCCAGATATCCCTCAAAAGCTTGATGTTATGGATGAGATAGAGGAAGGAAGTGGAGTATTTAAACTATTTGTCAAAGTCATGCATTATCAGTGACAGATAACCCCATCACAAGTTGTTTGCTTGAATGCCTTTGACTCTTGCCAAAACATCTCAATAAAGTTATAATTAGCTGTGGCTGGCATTGCCATGAGCTGTAACAGCATTTATCTACTGCAGAGTCATGTTCAGGAAGGTGCAAAATTCTTGGCTCTCTCTATAGGCATCAGGCATTAAATGTCTGCTGTGACCATTTGCAGATGAATGTTCTTGGATCCATGTGAGAGGTTTGTGTTAGGGGTTCAGCAACTACAGGATGGCTTTTAGAAATTGTACATGTACACAGGAAGGATGGGCAGCATTAATTAAATGTCCTGTGCTCCTTCTGAAGCCTTTTGTTGGTATATATATTTGGAAATGTTTAACAGAATAATGGAAATTTGAGGTTGGGCAGTTTCTCTCTGTTGAGATAAAGATGCAGTGCTCCCCATTGTACTTTACTAGTCTTCTATCCAATGCAAGTTCCAGTGCTAGATTATTCACTCTCTTGGGAGGCTGTATGGCAAAGAACCTGTTTTGTATGGTGGCTTTAGTATCCCATATTTTTTTCTGGCAATTCATCTAGTTTCTTAGAGGTAGCTTTCTTTTATCTCCAGTTCCTCACCTGCTATAATATAGAACTACTTGAGACACTTTATGTCGCAGTATTACTGCGCTTGGCTTCTGCTCTGTAGTTGTTGGTTAGTTAAGCTGTACCCTCTCTCCATAAAACACCTTTTAAGTCAGTCCCACTGTGATTTCCTGTCTTCCTTTTCCTCTCTGGGCTTCTTTTTATTTTCTCCTTTTCTTATCCTTGTAATTAATTGTGTGGAACTAAATGTGTATTCAGGTAGAGTACCTTTCTATTGTTAAGTGGTGCTTGTTCAGGTGACACACACCCAAGCTAATAACATATGTGAGTTGGCAGGCCGGAGAGCTTAATCTCTGTTCTTAGTTACTGGTCTAGTACTGCCTTTCCAAGGTTTTTCTCCCCATCAGTGCCTATATTTTGTTTTCCCTGGCAAGTATTCATGTTTACTCTGATTTTCTAATTATTTTTCTTGAACCTTTTGAAATTATTGTTGCCTCTATTATATAGTCTTCCTCATTCAGAGTGAAAGAGGACTTCAATATTTATATCTATGCAAGCATCATTAGTAAGCTGTGTATGTCAAGTAAGAAGGAAAATAGATTCATATGGGATTCCCCTAGATGCTTATCTGCTGATTACATATTTCACTTTTAATGCTTGCTTTCTGTTTACAGTACTTTGACATCTGCAGATTGAAAAATTATCCTAAGAATAGACTTCCATGATGCCCTGTGAAGTAATTAAGGATAAAGACTAACGTTATTAATCCTCATTTAAATGTTCACAAACAGTGCTTTATGGCATTATAATTTATTTCCATATCTTTCAGAAATTATTAATTTTCCTTTTCTTAGGTTCTTCTAGCAACTGCTTGGGAGAGTTGACAGGAAAGGGTTTCCTGTTCTGCAAGAGTTTTAAACTCTAGATTTTTTTTTCATTCTGCATTTTTCTGCACTGTGTTTCCGAGACATTTCAGAGTTGTCATTATGTGTTGGACAAGCCCATCCTAAAATAGCCAAGGGTTTGATCAAATGCATATGCAGGGCGCTGAAATCCGTATCTTTGCTTGAGGCAAGCAGCAGTTGAGCTGCCTTCCATGTTGGTGTCTTGCCTGAACCATACGTCTTCTGACTGGTTGTGAGTGATGGTTGTGGATGTTATTTCCCTTTTAATTAGCCATCTGCCGCCCCCAGGGGAGAGCAATGTGGACTCTGTCCCTGTGGCTGGGACCCCACAGAGCCAAGTGCTGCCAATGCCCATCCTTGTCCCAGCAAGTGACAATACTGTCGAGCTCTGCTGCTTCAGGGCTGGATGAGCTTGGAAGGCCTCTGTGTGTGTTTGTGTCTGTGTGTATATGGCTTTTGTTTTGA